GGGATCCTATAAGTTATTTAAATTGAAAATGTATAGGGGACAAAGGGTGTAGTTATTGATTATGCTATGTCTGCAGATGCATACTTTGGTTGTCTGGACAAATTAGTATTTGTGGTCACACTATATGATGGTTAAGATTGTCAATTGCTTTGGCATGGGAGCTGTTTAGAGGATTATTAAAGTACATATTGAGTGTGCGTCTGGTTTGGTCATGGAAGCATGACAATGGGTACCATAGTCCCTTTCTGTCTGGCAAGGGCAAGTTTCCCTTGCTCTGCTTCCTGGCCAGCATAAACTGAGCAGTTTTTCCTCCTCTAAAGCCTTCTGCCATGGTGATTTGATTTCAAGCCAAGTAATCATGGATTGAACTCTCTGAGAGCTGTCTTTCTTCAAGTTGTGCAAGTCGGGTCCTGTAGTTTGTTCCAGCTGTGGGAGAACTACCAGATAGCATTATAGAGGTTGCAGTAGAATAAGACCAGTACATGGAGATAAATAAGGAAAAAAAATCAAGACAGCTTGTCAGATAGATAGTTGTTTAGAAAAATTAGCAGAAAAAATTGGTAACTGACTGAAAGTGAAGAGGGAGAGAGATCGACACATCTGCTCAGCACTGGCCTTGGAAAACTATATGTGTCAGATCTAGAGGAGGAACACTGGAGATGTTCTAGAGGAAAATGACCATCACAGATGTGCTTGTATTGGGTTGAAGGTAGGGCTGAGGCAATCAGGGGCAGCTGGCATCAAGATTTACACATGTGGAAATAGCACGTCGTCTCTCTGGTGTAACCGAAAGTGTGAATAAGAACCAAAATGGAGAACAGAGATTATGAAATTGGAAGCAATTGTTTAAAAGGAAAGGGAAGCCAGGGAGGAAGGAAGGGGAAAGGAGGGAAGGGAAAAGAAAAAATAAGAAAAGAAGGGTAAAATGAAACAATTCTTTTGTAAATAAGGGGGGAAGGGTTGAAGAGAGGGGAGGGAAATGGGAAAAAGAGAAGAATCAAGATAGATCGGGTACTTGTACAAATTTCCTATGATGACTGTGGACATTATGTATATGTGTATATATATATATATATATATATATATATATATATATGGTACAAGCTAAAAAAAGTTTCTAGATGGAAAAATAAACTATCTTAACATCTTTAATACTTTAGTAATAGCTTTATATACAAGCTAAAATACTTCTCACATTGAAAATATGTGAAAATAAAATATCTTAACATCTTTAATACTTTAGTAATGGCATTATATACAAGCTAATACTTCACGTATTGAATGTGATTACTATTATAAGTGTTATAATCAGCTTAAAAAGAGAACAAGTTTATTTTGGCTCACGGTTTTAAACATTTTGGTCCACTACCCATTGGTTCTGTCGTTTTGGACCTGTGGTGAAGCAGTGTACCCTGACAGGCGGTGGGCGTAGGGAAGAGTGCACTGCTCACTGGTGGTAGCTGAGAACCAAAGAGACAAAGAGGGAGGTGCCAGAGGAGTCCCAGTGACTTCTGGAAGGGACTCACTCCTAGTAGCCTAACTTCTTCCGATGAGTCCCTATCTCCAAGAGGTCACCACCACCTATCAAGAGGGCCAAGGCAAAGACAATGCCTTCAGGGAACATTTAGAACACAAAGGACTCTGGCCAACAGGAACCAAGTGGTTTGCAGGGAGCTAGACACAGCCCACATCACTCCTGTGCACTGATAGTACTAGGTATTTTTAGCACTCACGAAATCCTGATTCATTCTAATTGTTTGGCTAACGGATTAAAATGTAATTTTGCTCTGTATTTATCCTGATTTATCTGGAGATAAATACCTTAAGAATCTCTCCCCTCAGGTACTTAAGAAAACTTAACTTTTGAGATTTGATAGTCTTGATTAAAAAAAGTCATTGAGCTGGAGCAAAGGCGGTAATGTTTGATGCTAATGAATTATACACAAAGTTCAGTCAGCAGTAAAACCTGCAAGGATTTCTGGTTTTTAGGTCCAAAGAGACTGAAGATTCAATAAGAAGGTAAAATGTAATTTGAACAACACAAATGAAAAATAGATGTGTGTTTGTGTGTGTTTGTGTGTGTGTGTCTGTGTGTGTGTGTGTGTGCGTGCATGTGCGCTTGTAATGTCCATTTCTGTTAAATAGGAATTTGCTTTTCACTATATGCATAGCTGGCCTTGTAGAAGCTGCTGCAGTGTTGTCTTCCTTTTCTCTTACTTATTCTAGATTAGCTTGACCCTTGAATATTTTATTGTATGTCCACCTTGCATTTTGAAATGCAAGGTAGGTTAGGCACTTGAAGGTTTACATGAATAGCATCACAAATATTAAACTTGCTCTCATATGAAAGATACTGAGTTTCGCTTGGTTTTTCATTTTCTAAAATACTGTTAATGATTGAGCTCAGGATTTTCTACCACTGAGATACTATCAGAGTCCCTTTTTATAACTTTTAAAAAATTTTTGATATAAGGTCTAAATTGTCTAAACTGGCCTCAAACTCCCAATCTTCCTGCATCAACCTCCAGAGTACACTATAGTGTACTCATTACAGATGTACACTATAGTATCTGGTTCATTTCACTAAAAAACATTAAAAACTTTGATTTACCTAGCTTTATTTATTTCCCATTCTTTACAATGAAGGATTATTAGAAACTTGGAAGAAACTATATACTGCTGTGTCATTTGATAATGGAGTCAGATTCTGAGAAATATGTGATGTTGTCTGAACATCATAAAGTATATTTAAACTAAACATCTGTGACATCAATTTCTTATGACCGCCACGGTATATAAGGTCCATTGCTGACCAGAGCATTATTCAACCTATGACCATGTTAACAAAGAACAAGCCCATGTATGGATCTTTGAACTTCAACAAGGGGAAAGTATTACCACTCCTCATGTTAAAAAAATAAAGATGATGTATTGAAGGTTAGGACTTGGTGAAATCCTAGTACTAACTAAAAAATGGACAATCAAAAGGGAGCACTGTGTCTGTCTATTATGTGTGAGACACTAGTTTGATGCCAGAAGTATTAGCTAAGAGGGGTTTCCAAAGCTCAAACGTGGCTCTTGTTAACATATCCTTAGCAAATCTGAATGGTGAACTTGGGAATTACAAGTCCCCCTCCTCTGCTGGAATATATATAATATCTGCAATATTCTTGAGGTTGCAATGGATATGGAACTGACCATTTGGAGAAAAAAAATCCCAGTCACTCCAGAATTAAATTTTTCTCTTGCTAATTTATTTGCAGGGTGCTGCCTTTTGGAAGAATTTACATCTATGAATTAATATTCCTTCCTTTTCTGTTTATAAGTGAAAGAACTGTGTGTTTTAATTAATTACAATATTATCTACTTCAGAGTACTGTGCTAGGATTCATTGACACCTTCTCATCCCTTTTTTTAAATTGTGTTCATTCATTTTATTTTATTAGTATAGATGTATAGTACAAAATGATTACATGTATTGTGGGGATTTAGTACATGTACAGAACACATCTGAATTTTTTTTTTTTTTTTTTTGTTTCCTTCCCCTTCCATTTCTCTTCCAATTCTTGGTCCTCTGCCCACTTACAAAAGCTCTATTTGCCTTTTTTCAATTCTTTTTTTTTTTTTTTTTTACATTCCCTTCTCTCTGTTTCTTCTCCTTCCTCCATCTCTCTCATTCCCCTGCTCATTTGGAAAGGAGCTCTCTACTTCCTGGTTTTGCACTTTTTGAGGGGTTTCTCATGTAAAAAGAAGCCATATAATATTTAAGTTTCTGTGTCTGTGATTTATTTCAGTTAATATTATGGTCTTAGGGTATATCTATTTACCTATACATGCCTCAAGTATCTTTGTCTCTTTTCACTGGAAAAAAATTGAATAGGAATTATTTATTTCTAAACTACAGGAACAGGAATTTTCCTAACTTGAAACTGTGATTCATGTTTTATGTACATGAAACACTGTAGGATAAACTCAGAGATATTTGAAATGTTCGTGTCACCAACGATGATATCAAAGTTGAACATCCATTGTCAAATCTGTAATATAAAGAAAGCTTCTAAGGTCTATTTCAGCTTTGTAAAAATTCTAGCAATATTGGAATTCTTATGATAAGGTTTAGCTAGGGGTTCATCTTGTAGTATTACCTAAAGTTGTTGGGAATTAAGCTTATCCCCCTGTTTCATGATGATTTGTTTCTGTTAGTGTTGAATGAAAAAAAAAAATAGAAAAGAAAAGGAAAAAAAGGAAACAACAACAACAACAAAACCCCAAAACAAAACAAAAACATAAACAAAAAAAACTTTTGCTCCCTCCGTCTTGCAAAGTGGAAAGTTTTAAAATAAATAAATCAATGCCTAAGAAAAAGGACTCCAAATAATCTAGTCTTGGAAATTATCATTGGTTAATTTAAAATTGGAAAGAGCTGTGTTTGGTCACTTGTCCTTGTAGAGTCACAGCCAATGAAACATGAAAAAAAAGTTCTCTGGCTTCATACTAATGGTATTTCATTCATAAAAAGCAATTGTGCCCTGAGATTTAATTGAGTGGTTCCAGGGCCATGCCAGGAGAAAATCAGCTGGCTGGACTCCTGTATAAACACGATGACATGCTGAGGGTGGTGTTTACTTTTTTCTAATTAAAGAAAATTAGAAATACCATCGTGTTTCTGTACTGAGCTCTGACAGCAGCATGCCCTGGGAATTGCTCCTGATACTTGTAGGGGAAGGTTTTCCTACATTCAGCATTCATTTGTTCCCTTATATTTTAAATTTATTCCAGGCTGTCAGTGGTTCAGACTGCTCCGAGGCCTTGGTTTTTCAGGATTATTTCAAAACAAGGCTGGAGGACCGAGTGGAATTCAGACCAACCACTTCTGATGACATTTGGTGTTTTCAGCCTGGTGCTCATTCCTTTTGGGTGGACACCCCGTGTTCTTCCCATTTCCCAGCTCTATTGGTTTTCATAATAATGAGGCAACCCTACAATTGACTACCCAGGGTTTCAGCATATGACTTCCTGCAGGGACCCACACTAATAAAAAACAACTAAGAAGTCAGTGAACACATATAAACTGCACAGTAAATGCGGGTATTTTTCATGTACCATGAAAGGCTTTAATTGAGTTTTAGTTTGACAGAGAGCTGTAAAACCTAGAAGGACTTTGTTTTTCATTAATGATCGCTTGTCTTTTAAAACCTGCATCCAGGAAGCAGGTATGCATGAGTTTTGATTTTTTAAAAAGTAACGACCACTGTACATTTATGTCACAGTTATATAAAGTTTTTAAAAATTCAATGCTGTTTCATCAAAATTCCATTTGAATAATAACACAGTTAAGAAAAATATTTAAGATGCAGCAATCCAATAATATGTTCATTTCTGAAATCATTGTCACATTTTCTTATTTTGACCTTTTTTGAACTTATGACTTCAAGGGTAAATATTTAAGTGCCAGACAACTTGTTTCAAGAAGGTTACCGTCAGGGGGTCTCTACTCCAATACTGCCAAAAAGACATTCTGATAAAGGCAAAGACTGAAATCAAGTCTACCAAGGTTTAGAGAAGCATTTCCTTTTTTTCCCCCCCTGTAAACTAACATTGAGGCCTGGATTTTGGTGAGTGCAGTTTGGAAGATAATATCAATTTTACAAAAGGGATGAAGGATACATGTAATGAATGCAAAGTTTAGAGGCAGAATGTGAAAAGAACATGACCTACTCTGGTGTCTTTTAAGTTAAATGAAAAGAACAAGTCTGTGCTTTACTGAAACAGCTACATTGTTTTGGAAGCGCTGGTATATTACAGAAACGGAAGTCAAATGTTTCTCTGACGTGTGTTTATCAATACCTCCAAAAATTTAATGCACAAATCATATATTCAAACCAAAAATGGAATGTCAACTCTAGGCTAGTAGGAATTAAGGGCCTCCCGCCCCCCCCCGCCTTTTTCTGAGTGACAACTTTTTTCTTTAATCTCAGTGCATACACCGGAGAAGGCAGGTAAGAATAATTACAGTAGGAAAAGTTTCGCCCAGGTTTGTCAGTGTTGTAACCTTTAGTATTCCTTCTGACTCTAATGACAAGAAAGCAAGCCTGAACGGATATTTTTTTCAAACTTCAGTTTCTTCATTGTGCTTTACTTTCTCTGGTGTCCAAAGATAATCAAGAATGAGCTGTAAATAAAATTCAGTCACAAGGAAAAATATCCCACTCTTCTTCCACATCCCTGGACCACCTGTTCATGCAGTCATGGAATTTCCCCTTTGCCTAAAATGAGCTTTATGTAGTCAAACATCTTGTAAAATAGGAGCAGGGGGGTTGTGAAATAACAAGAGAGAGTATTTAAAGGGTCTGATTTAAAGAAATGAGCCCAGCAGAGTTTGGCCAACTGGGGGCAGTTAAGCCTCCCCTGACACCAGCCATTAGTAATATTTTCCATGCACTAAGTAAAACAATGGAAACTTCATCACATCTGGTTGAGCCTCCATTACCTATGCAGCTTGTAATGGTTTTTGAAATCTTGATATGAAACAGCACCGTGGCACTCAGCGATAGATTGTTAGGGGGAAAAAAAGGCACACTTGTTCCAAAACAATGAGGAGCTGCTTATTACCATTTCTCTTAGATGCTTTCCTCTGGTTCATATTGCTAGACTATTTCATCTTGATCCAAACAGAGTTTGGGGTTATTTTCATAACCTGTTCCTTTCTCTATCTTTAGAGCAATCAGCAGCTAGACTCTAGAAAAGCCATCTTATATATCTTGTGAGGACCACTTTGTTTCATGGAAAGTTTTGATTAGTTGGGGGAGTTCTTAGTAAGTGGAGAAAAGAGTTTTGGCAGATTGATAATGCCAAGAAATAGCTGTTGTCTTAGACTGCCGAGTTTTCCGCTTGCATTTGCTTTAATTACTTCAGAGATATAGAAAGATGATGTTGGATGTGGCCACATTGTCCTTAAACCACAGACTTGATTATTTTTTTAAAAAAATAAGGAAGAAAAGGGGTAGTAAAATGAATTAAAACAGAACAGTAATGTTTATACTGAATGATGTTATAAAATCTCAAAGCATTGACAATTGTTTTCTTTGAATAGAGTCAATCAATAAGTTTCTTATAGTTTATAGGTGCCATGGCTCAAATCATAGTTTAAGTCTATCTGTTCATCTTTCTGTGCACAGCCACCCATGCTTATTGAATGTTTACTATGTAAGCTTTTTTAAACTCTGAATACAATTATTCTCATTGGTTGTAGTATTAATCAAAGCAATTGTCAACTTGATTTGCTTGAAAGACACCTATGTGATTACTAATGCATACTTGGTCATCAGGACTTACACATCTAGGTCCATAGGTCCAAGACCCTGGACCTATGTCTTATGCCTGGCCTATTCCTCTGTTCTCCTCTTCTGCTCTCTGCTTCCTGGACATTGTGAAGTAAACAGTTTTCTCTCATTATGTCCTTCCATCATGACATACTTCCTTGAGACAGAATCAGAACAAACTCCTCCTTTTTTATGTTGAAAGTGTCATGAATTTTGCCCCATCAATACAGCATATCACATTGCCTATACGAAGAATAAATGACTTGGTCTCGAAATACCATTGTTAGTCCTAACTGGCAATACTAACTACTAATAGCCAGCATAAAGTTTTATTGAGGGCATAATTTGTACTAGACTCTGTTTAAATAATTTTCCATGGATTAACTTATTGTAAAGCAGTTATTTGTGCACTCTCAGCTCCATTTTGTGGATGAAAAAACTGAAGTATAGTTCTGTTAATCATCTTGCCCTAGATTTTATGCTAGTAATTGGCAAAGCCAAGACTTTAAGCCAGAGCTATTTCTCTGGATATTATATTTTGCCACTAAAATAGTTGTGATTTGCTAGATTAATCACTTTGCACTTAGTGTATACTTTTATAGAATGAGCACAATAATACCTACTTCAAAAGAATAGGCCTGGACTTGAGATTGGAATACTTACGAATACACTTTGCAATGTGAATGAGGCAGTTTACTATTTCTGGGACATTTATGTTATCATCAAATGCCAGAGGGATTGGAGAGTAAGACAGAAATAACTAAGATTTCCTTTTTATCATAGTTCAAATTCTTAAGAGTGTTAAGGACAAATAATGCTTTTCAGTAAAACTGAGGACTCTTTGTGGAACAAACTTTTGAAGCAAAGCAATGTATAGTAAGATGTTTCTGTTTGTAAAAAATGCCTTCCATTTTTTATAATCTAGGCCATTAATTTTCCACTGCCTTCCTACAAAGATTTCTCTGATGAACTTATATGCATGCGCACTTACACACATATACACACACACTCTTGTGACAGGGTTACAATGGTGCTGATCACTCTTTGGTGACAGTAGCTGATGTCCCAGGTAATCTCAGAAAGGAAGCACAAGGTCTCCAGCAGTTAAGCCAATTTGCAATGTCACATTGTGCAGGAGGAAATTCTTCTTTCTCTTTGTTTTTCTTTTAGAAAATGAAACAGAAGTATGTTAATAAAACAATGTGTCTGGCCAAAATGAAACAATCTTAAGTTTGATGTATTTGAGGAAAGTGAAAAGATGATATTGAAGGGCACTGCTAATACTTACAATGATGAATGCCATTCAGATTTGACTAGGAAATTATTTAGAGGATACAACTCCACACTGGGGTTGTATCCTCTAAATAATTTCCTAGTCAAATCTGAATTTTAATCCTGCCCCAAATGGTACACAAATAGTATTCCATGGAGCTAAGGTAGGTCTCATAATCCACATTAAGTATTAAATGAGCCCAAAGATCAATAATTACTATGCAAATGCAGCAGGCTAATATCAGAGTCCTTTGCTGTTATGGAGTTTTGGAGACATCACCACATAATGTGCAGATATTCTGCCTTACCCACCCCTTTCCCTTAATTTAGTAAGGAAGAATAGTTTCCTTGTCTGTTTGTGCCATAGTCCATCAGATTCTGTGGCTGTTGTAACACGTGCTGATGTATCTTTTTACCAGTCCTTACACACTCTTCCTGGATAGGAGATGCTTTTGGTCATCAGGACTTACACATCATATACTGAATTGGCTGCGCACATGTGTATATAAGTTGTATAGAATGTTTACTGTTGAATAAGCACATATCTTCACTCATTGCTGCTGACTAATCAAAAATGTGAACAACAACTTTTATCTGAATTTGATTTTTAACCAAGATCACAAATTGCCCAAAACATCTGTGTGTGTGTGTGTGTGTGTGTGTGTGTGTGTGTGTGCATGCGTGCACACACACAAACAAATATAGCAATCATGATTTGTGAGTAGGGGCCTAAAAGGAAAGTGGAATTGTTCATTTATTTCCTAGGTGAGCACACTTCATTCTGGTTGCCTCTCAAGGCTTATTTTGTTTTTTCAGGAACTTGTTTTTAACATTCAGTGCTACTTTCTTCCTTTGACATTGGTTAATAACGTACTCCCAGTAAATATATGTAACATCAGTTTTCTCTGCTTCTATGAATATATTCTACACAAAGGCTTATTGAGGATTCAAGTGGTATTTTCTAGAACTTGGAGGACATAGTGGAACATAAAGAGGAGTGTGAGACTAGAAATCAAGGGCTCATGCTGAATTTTGCATAGCTATGCAGAATATTAAATCCATGTATTTGTAAGTTCCGCAGCTATTACAATCCTCAGTAAAATCAGGATGTGGGAAAATATGCCCAAATATCTTTGTAGTTTTGCCAATGTGTGAGTCTGAGTTCTAAAGCAGTCTATTGAATATGAGAGATTTTTTTCTCCATAAACTCTGCTGTGTCATTTGTGGTGAGGGCAGGATGAAATTTACAGGAAAAATACCTGCCCACACATAACAAATAGATAGGAGACAAGTTAATTCAGCATGAAGAGAGAAGCAGGCACCTGGAGTGTAGTTTGGTTTTGTAATATGTGTAACTCAGCCACTTCATAGTCTTACTTAATCATTAATTTGATAGTTATATTTCTTGTGCTTCTCGGAAATTTGTTGGTAGACTCAGTGAAAGGATTTTGCCATGGGTGGAACGCTGCAGTGGTGGGAGGCTGGGAGGGGAACCAAGAGGCTCTATCTTGAGGTCATCTTCCCCGCCCCTAGGCAATTTACCTGTGGTACGAAATGAATTCCAGTGGACTACTTGTGCATCAATAATGCCCCTTAGGCACCACCTCAGACCAAAGCTATATGTTTGACCCCCCCCCATACCACGGGTCCAGCAGAGAGAAAAGCCAGACCTCAGTGGTCATGGGGTTCTCTCTCTGTGTCCTTAAAATAAAGGCCACTTTTATTTCATATTTCTATGTTTTTAGACATGCTGAAAATTCTATCATTCAAAGCACTTGAAAAAGTAAGTTCTACTACTTTACAGATAGCTCTTTATTAATCATAGGTTGAATTAATAACTAGAAAGTAAGAAATTAAATGTTTAATTAACATGATAATAATATAACTGCATTTTACATTTAGTGATTTGGTTGGGTTTCCCATTCATAAGACTCGGTATCTGACAAGAGCAATTTTGAGGAGAGGTTTACATGGATATGGTTCAAAGAATCCAGTCCACATTTGGTTGACCCAAAGACAGGAGCATCATGGTGAGGGAATATGGAAAGGTAAAGACATGTAGCTCATGGGGTCCAGAAAGCAGAGGTGTGTTCACTTCAGCAGCAAATATACAGAAAGCAGAGTAGATTAGCAGCACTAGTGAGGAAGGGGTAAGGAACCAGACATAGTATCCAAGATTGTGACTCACCAAGACATAACAAAAGTATACTTCATCAATCCCCCTGAGGGAAGGACCTCAAAACCTATCAAGTCCATACTCCATTTTAACCATCACAACAAGTAACATGTTTTTGTTACTTGTTGTGAATATTCGAATGATATCACACATAATACTTGAATACCTGAGTTGTATTATGATGCAAGAGAGAAGTGTAAAGTGGACAAATGTGGAAATAAGAGACAAAGAATATTTACAAATAAGTATCACAAACACCAAGAATACTTCTTTCAGAGAAGACAGATATTGTGACATATGAGGGTATAGAATATGTTCTGTATGACTGAGGAAATGGAATACATGAAGGGTCAATGGTACACACAATGGTGTACAATTCCATTTGTGCGGTTAAATGGTTCAAGGAAGTGACCAGTGGATGACAGTGTTAAAGTCATGTTGGGACTGGACTCCAGTGATGGGAATGGTAGGCTTTATCCTATAAGTAGTATTGTAAACCTAAACAGTGAGTTCAGTCATCCAAGTATTATAATCCTCTTTCTAGTTTTCTTCACAATCCAAAAAGTTACATTTGTAATCCCACTGAGACGTTATTGGAATCCTAACAAGTTAATTCCAATCTATCACCTCCAATGCAACCTATGGTGAGAGTAAAGACAAAGACATATTCCAAGTTAAAGGCAGCCAAGGGGTTCTAAATCCAATCCTCATGAGGATCTGCAGACAAAGACCTTAATCCTTGGCCTCTCCCAGCATTTATTATCTTGTGAAGAAGAGGGGTGGCTCAGGGATGAGTAAGTAACTTAAGCTGGCTGGCCAGGTGCAAGATCTCTGTAAATTGCAGAGATAAAAACATGTGGAATGATCAATTTACATAACCCAATTAAGATAGCAGTTGAATTGATTTGGGGGGCTATCAGCTTCAGTTCCTGATATGCAAACTCTCGGGCCCTGGGGAGTCATAGCCTCTGTCTTGAGGTCCTACCCAATTGACATTCTTGGAGCTATTTGCTCTAACATCTGGCATGCTCCACAATCCTGTATTGTGGAGAACACTATTCAAGGAAACAAGACTGTCCGTTTGCTATAGATACTGCATGTTAGCACCTCAGCTAGGCTTATTTGCAATGCTTAGAGCCAATTGAAGAGAGAAGAAAATACCCTAGCCAGCCTTTTACATATCAGTGTAAGGAAATGAGTCTCCAAATAATCAAAGCGGCAGTAATTGTTTTGCATTCAGAGGGAGTCACTGGAGTCGTCTCCCACAGGTAGTGCAGCGCTGTCCATGTTCTTGGCTGCAGGAGAGTGAAACAGGAGAATACAGAGTGCAGCCTAATCGGGATGAGGAAGTATTTAATTCAAGTAAGTTTTATCATCTTCAAAGTCATGGAAAGGATGAGAGTTATGTAAATGCATTTTGAAATTAAATATGCATACAGTGTGTTCTTTTAGGCCATCAAAACTTATCACAAATTTCCACATACCTATTTCTTCTTTGATCTGTCATCCATAAAATGTAATTACATTTAATAATTAAGATGACTATAGGAAAAAGTAAATGATAAAACCACAAGTTGGAATTAGATTCAAAGAGAATGGTACTTCATTGAAGCTGACTCCTGACTGGAAACCCCGCTCAGATCCAGTGTGGCTCAAGGCACATGGGAGGAAAGCTAAATACCTAAGACCTGGAATAAAAAGTTGCATAGTATGAACAATTATTTCTACTTTTTGTTTAACTCTTTTCCGTTGCCTCTTTTGTAATTATGTGTTGTCTTTCTTAAAGCAGAATTACTTTGCTTCTGCCTTTAAAGTTCTAGAAAATCAGCAGAAAACAAATCTACTAGGCCAGAAGCCCATTTACAACAAGCCAAAACATAAAATTCTGCCTTTGAATCATTCTTAAGATATCATAATTCCAATTATTAAAGGGGTCCTCGAGCAATTAAAGAGGTCCTATTAATATCAAAAAGTGATCTTTTGTCTCTTCTGAGGTCAGATTTAAAAAGATTCCATTTCTGAGCCAGAGCCATTCAACAAAGCCAGACACAGAAGGGTTCCTTCTATCTAACTTGATTTGAATCCCAAAGTAAAGATTATACTTTGAATCCTAAGTATAAACCTCCTTCACTATTGCAAAGTGACTCCAGTATTAAATGGGTATGTTTAGAAATAGATTGACAGCAGTAGTGTGGGTTTTGAGCATTCAAAATATTTGTCCCTAAGTAAACCACCAATGAATTATCCATTAGAGCCAAATTTCTAATGACTTAACAAATGAACTTGATATTTCATGAATAATGTTGTATTAGTTACCTGATTCATAACGAATTAGTATAGTATTTAGATGTTTAACACAATAAATACTTCTTATCTCTTAGTTTCTGAATATGCATCAAAAATCTGGGTCTGGCTAGTGAGAGGCTTCTTTGGATGTGCTTCAGAAACTTTGACTTGGGCAGTCCAGTTCATCGTCTTAAAATGCACACATAGTCACCATTTAATAGCTTAAAAATGAACTTTGAACTTTTGTTAACTATCAGACATAACAATGACCACATGGACGTCTCCTGTTCCTGTGCAGTATTTATAGGGAAAATCAGATCCTTTGAACTCATGAAAAACCCAAACCCATCATCCAAGCATCTTTCATTCCTAGAGATTACCAGCGTTTTCATTACAGGTTAAATTCTTTGTAACTTTTTCATGTGGAAACTATCCTGTTACCTCCTGCTCCTTCTCCTCCTGCTGAGTGCAAATGGAGTGTAGACTCTCCTTCCTACAGCTGCTTTGGATTTTGTTACATTTTCCAGGTTTGAAAAAAAAAGTGCTGACAGAATGTGGCTTCATCTACAACTCTCAACTGATTTTAAGAGTATAAACAGAAATATGTTTCCTGATTGTGCATACAAGTGAAATAAAAATATGCCTACATCCAAAGATCCACTAGCCTCTTTATTTTTAGAACTGGACACTAAAGAAAAACAAAATTATGCTTGGAGAAAGGTCATCATAAGAAAAGACAGTAAATATTGTCAGATAAAAAGAAAAATACTGAATACATTTTTGATTCATACTATTTTCAACAGAAGATACTTGTTTCTTAAATGGAAAAATCTTTCTGTTTGTATCTGGGCAGAAATTTAGAATCATATAGATAAAATGGAAAAGCTTACTAAATGATAAACTTATGTTACATTGCTCCCAAATGGTCCTTCTTATTTTATCTTACATAATGGAGCAAAATCCTCTTAAATTAATGTATTTGAAAGCAAAACGCTCCCATCACATTTTCATTGTTACAAAATGGAGCAAAGAAAAACATAAATTTGAGTCACCAAGAAGTAAACAGATTGAAATTTTCAAGATGTACTTCATCGGGCTGGGGATTTAGCTCAGCGGCATAAGCGCCTGCCTTGCAAGCAGGCAGTCGTAGTTCGATCCCCGGTACCGATAAAAAAAAAAAAGACAAAAAAAAAAAAAAAAATTGAAAAAAAAAAAAAGATGTACTTCATCTACGCTTGTAGACTGAATACCTATAGGATTTCAGAGGAAGAGACTGGTGAACTTGTGAACTCAGGACCAGTTTGGGATCTACTCACTGAAAAAAAGCAAGTGGGACAGAATGGTAAGATTGAAGAAATTGATCCTGGTAATGGTAGAAGGGAAGCCCATGGTCTAGGCTTCAAGATATAAGGAAACTAAGGTATTATCCAGAAAGGCATACCAGAAAATCTATTCTGGATAACAGAACACGGTTTGTGGGGATATTAAGGTGTGTCATAATCTAGAGTGAGAAATCTGATCTGTGTTAAGGCTTTAACACACTTATGGTAATTGATAAATAATCAGACTCCAATTATAAGATCTGTGATTGGCAAGACATCTTCTTCAGAGACAACTGGATGTGTTGTTGATTTGCTCAGAACACAAGGTAAAAGCTTAGTGGCATGACCTGAAATTGGAATTTTGTGAGGTGGAGAGAGAGAAAAAAACTTCCAGCAAGACCCAGATCACTCCTTTGGAATTTTGGATAGCTGTTTGCTTAATAAAAGACCCAAAGGAGGGTCTGTGGAGTGGGGTCACAACGCAGGATCTATATTAGTAACCGAGCCACTAAATTCTGGGTGTGGGAATGCTGACCTGTGTTTGATACAGTTATTCACCTTCCCAAAGACGTGAATTTTCTGACAAGTTGGAAAAGCAGTTGCAGAGGATGAGCAAATATGTCAGCCCATTTGTATCCATCCTGATCTTAGAGGGGCAAAACAAAGGAAACAAAAGAGGGTGTTGACATGGGCTCACTTCAGTCCCTCTTCTTCTCTAAAAGCTTGCTTCCAGTCATGTCTGTCACTGGTCCAGGGCAATTAGCTAGGGACATACTTACAGGTTTTTGTTGTTTCATTTAATGTGGTTTTTTACGAGCAAGGGAGAAAGCATTGATCGTCATAGCTCTATCATCAAGAAGACGCCCTTATTAGATCCCATTCCGGTAAATAGGAGTAGTATCTAATTTCCTTTGGAAGCAAGGCAGTAGAGGGGAAAGGATATACCACCATGAAAGGCAATCTTGCCTGGAACCAATGTGTTTTAGTATTGAACTTTGGGTCACACTGAGTTTTTCCCAGCAATGATATCCGAATACATAATTATTCTGCTCTTCATGTGGTATTGGTAGTGCAAAGAGCAAGTGTGTGCTTTGTATTTATTTTCCACATTTCTCCTTTATTGTTCCCCAAGTGGAATGACATGGCAAGTTTCATTCCACCACGTTGAAAGATAGCTACTCTTGGCTTCTGGAAATATTTCTATTCTTTTTATTTTACTGTTTTCTAATCCTCTGTTCTTTTTTTGTTTTTGTTTTTGTTTTTGTCAACTTGATTCTCTCTTGTGCCATCTTCTTTGACTTGCTCCCCTTTCAGCAAGGGTCTAGGGTCAAGCATCTCACGAGTAATATATAGGTGACCGTTGGTTTGAATGGATGATGGATATGGTATGAGCAAAATCTAGGGGCCCTCTCTGTTTGGCCAGAGACAAAAATTTAATCATGGGATTGTGGTAATTTTATGGGGCTCCAAAGGATGAAAATAACCAGGCGGATTCAAGGAAGCATCTAATTTACCAAGTGCATAGTTGTTTTTTTTTGTTTGTTTGTTTGTTTGTTTGTTTTTTTTTTTTTTTGCCAAGTGCATAGAAACTTCATGTATTTCAATCTTCGATGCATACTATGCATCAGTGCATACTGGATAATTACCAGGGCAGATATTTGATTTCATAATTTTGCTACATAAATACATTTTAAATTATGAAGTAGCTCTGTTGGTTACTGATACAGTTTCCTTAGCTCATACATCAGTCAACTCTACAGTTCTATTTATGAAGCAGCTACTTTGTGTCAGACACTTTTCAAGATACTACTGAATAATGGTGAATAAAATTTTTAAAAATCTTTGTATCCTGGAAGAGAATGTAGATGACAAATAAGAAAGTGGAAAGAATGATTGAGATGGATGACTGGATTGGGTGTTAGGGAAATGACATTTGAGTAGAGACCTGAATGAATCATGGGGTTAAGGTTTAGATGATCTGGGAAACATGTCCCAGGCAGAGGGATATCATTTGAGAAGTCCTGAAAGTAGGAAGGAGTATGGCATGACAAACAAACTGAGTGTCACTTGGACCTGGAAATGGAGGGAAAATGTTACAGAAAAGGAGAGCGAGAGTTGTGATGTTAATCTAAGTATGACAGAAATTCACTGGACACTTACAATGAGCATTATGTTTTAGAATGTCACTGAGTGGGGGTGGCTGATGCACAACTGTCATCTGTGTACTTGGGATGCTGAGGCAGGAGGGTTGAAAATTTGAGGCCATTTGGGTAGTTTAATGAAGCCCTGTTTCAAATTTGAAAATAAAAATTCTAGGAGTGTAGTTCAGTGCTCCCTGGATTCAATCCTTCATACCGAAGAAAAAAAATCACTCTAACTGTGGTGTTGAGAAGGTATTTGGGGAGATATGAGCAAAAGCATGGAGGTCAGTTAGGAATTTTGTTTGTTTGTTTAAAGGTTTTGATTTTTGTGATCAGGTAAGAGATTATTAGATGACATTATGGGAGACTAGAAAGTTCCAGTGGCTGGCTCCAATTACACTGTTCAAATTTGGCCCCAAAGTTTCAGAGGACTCAGTGCTTTGGTCAGTGTTGGCAATGTGTTGCTTTAGGAAAGATGGCGCACTTTTTCAGAAAGCTTATCAATTACTGTCTTAGTCTGCTCTGCACTGCTACAATACAAAGTCTGTGACTAGGTAATTTATAAAGAACAGAAGTTTACTTCCCACTGTTCAGGACACTGGGCTATCTGAGATCAAGACATGAAGCATGGAAAGCATTTCTTGCTGTGTTCTCCCAGAGTATAAAGCCAAAGGGCTGAAACAGACATGCAGTGTTTCACATGGCAGAAAATGAGAGGGAACCAACTCCCGAGGGACCTTGTTATACTTACACAAGTCTTCGAGACTGGAACACCTTCCAACAGGCAGCTCTGTGGACTCGGTAAAGCTGGGGAATTCAAAGTCTAACATGAATTTGGGAAACAATTTTGGGCCATAGGACTTACTCATACATCACCTGTTCTGTCCCTATCACTTGTAATCTTTGATCCAGAGAGATTCCAGCATTGAATGATTGACAAGTTTCAAAGTGTATATAAATATCCTGGTTCTTAAAGAGGCAAATATATTTTTCTTATTCTTTGGGCTCACAAGTTGTAACTTCATAAATTTTTTTTAAGATTATATATCATTGATGGATAGATTTTACAGCAAAGTACAGATGGAACTACCCAAGGAAGCAGAGAATAGTAATGAAGCCAGTCTTCCAAGGGCAAAGGCCTATCTATCAGTAAAATGGAGCTTCTGCTTAATGAGAATAGCAATCAGGCTTTGACTCCTGTTTCCTGCGGAGATTCATCTTTTCACAGCCTGAGGTCCCGCCTTTATCACAATGAGATGTCCAGTAATTTTTATCTCTCTCCTATTGCTGTGTCTTTTCGCTCCTAGACCTCCAGCAATGCATAGCACTTTACAGACACCACATATCAGAAATCACACAGTGGCTGCTCATAGGCCACATATTCCCTCAGGCTTTTTGCCAGCAGAGTGTCTTTGAAATTTGGAGTGATTGCTGTAATAGTTTTCCACTGCCATGTGGCAAATGATTATGCACTCAGAAGCTGAAAACAATGCTCATCTATTGTCTGACTATCCCCATGGCTCAGGAGTCCAGGCAAGGCTTAGCAGACAGGGTCAGCTCAGAGTCCTCTCAAGTCACAACCAAGGGACTGGCCAGGCTCTGTTCCTATCTGGAGGCTTGGAGGAGAAGTAGCCATTTCCACATTCATTGAGGTTGTTGGCAAAAGGTCTCTTCTTGCAGCTGTCAGCTGTATTCTGGCAGGAGACTGGAGGCTCCTCTGCAGCCCTAGAGTCTCCAGTCCCTCCCCATGAGCTTCTCATACAGAACTGCTTACTTTATTTCACTTCATGGAGATTTCAGCTTCTTTGAAGGGCTTTTACCTGACTAAATCAGCCCTATCACCATCCTCTACTTCTTGATGAACTCATATTCAACCAACTTGCAAGTCTTCACTCCGGTCATATTGTATTGGCTAGAAGCAACTCATAAATTCTGCCCAAAATCAAGAAAAGTCATTAGGAGGCTTTTGCTGAGGTTGCCTGATATAACTGACCACAGGTACAAATAAATAGAGTGTATGTTGGAATCTATTCTTCCAGTTTCTTTTGGGAAAAAAAGAGCAATCAGCAAAAATAGTGTCTTCACTGACCTCCTGGTCAGAGGTACCCCCTGAGAATACCTTACCCTACTCATTACCTATTCCAGAGTCTTCATTGTTTGTGTTGCCTACCTCATCCTTGTGGCCATGCACAGTTACAAATGCTGTAGGAATGTGTGTTGCAATTATTTTGTCACAGCCACTTTGCTTATGTATTTGTTATTTCTGCCTACTTCCAAAAGGTGAAATAACATTCGAGTGGGAAGGATTATGAAAGATCACTTGGCGTATCACTTACAGAGAAAACAGAAGCTGGAAGAAATAACTTGAGCAGGTGAGTAGAACTCCAAACTCTGGTTCTTCTACTCATGCCCTACAGCATTTTTAAGAATAAAAGAAGAGTTTCCCAATCTGTGTCCTAGAGGAAAATCTGGAACTACTTTTTTTTGAAAAATAGCTACCTTAACTATAACTAGGAAAACATCATTTTTCTCTATTAAAAACCACCATGAAAATTATGCATTGTGAGGCCTGTGGAGAGTTTCCATGTGTTTCCGGGGGCTCTGTCATATTCTCTGTTTTTTAAATAATTGCTTTTCTTAGCACATGTTTTTAGTATATAAATTATATCCATATTATAATTTCATGAGGAGATTAATTAAAGGGTAGATGTCTGAAAAGACTCATCAGGAGGACAGAAATGCCAGAAAACAAAACAAAAACAAGTTGAGAAACACTGCTTTAGGAGAACTAGAGTAGACTAGAAAAAGGAAAATGCAGGCCTCTTGTTAAATTATTATTAAATTTCAAGACAGCAGAGCAGGAATTCATGCACAGGGCCTGTGGTGGGTTGTACTGTAAATGTTCTTACAAAGCTCACGTATTGAAGGCTTCATCCTAGCTGATGGTGCTGTTACAGGGCGGTGGAAAGTTTAGGAGGCAAGCTTCTTTGAAGGGAGTTAGTTCCTTGGTCTGTGCCCTTGAAGAGGAGGTTGGGACCCCAGTCTCTTCTCTGTTTGCTTTCTGGAAATCCTGGGGCAAGCAGCTGGTTTCTACCACATACTTCTTGCCATAATATTCTCCACCGAACAGTGTGGAGCCAACTGAATATGAACTGCAAACTCGGAAACCAAGAGCCAAAATAGATCTTTCCTTCATTTAATATGACTAAAAGAGGGATCTTTGGAGTTCAGGCCCCTTGTACACTGATGGAGGCTGCCCTTAAGAACAGCACTTGTGCAGCCTTTTATGACTGTCTTGACAGCAGTCATGGTGTAAGCCGGATGCAATCTGTCTTACTTCCTGAATCAGCACCACACAATTACAACTATTGCCCTTGGAAGGGTGCAAGATAGAACAAGCATTTGCTGAAATTAACTTACTCTTCCTGAGTAACAAACAAAATTACAAATACCCCAGTAAAAAGTATAGGGATAGCAAAACTGAGGTTTTCACTCACTTTGAACCCTCCATAGTTTTGTCCTTTTATCTATTGATTTGGGCTCTGTTTTAGTCTCCCTCAAAACACACAAGTGGTTTAGAAATTTCATTTCGGATCACAGACTGTGAAGGTAGGTGGAAAGAAAAAGCATCATACCTTGAGGAAGATAAAGACCTCAGCTTTTTTTGCATTTGCTCCATTCAGTGGCTGGTGCTGCCTGACTCTGGAGATTTGTAAGAGAACATGGTTTAAGTTTACTACGAAGCTTACGCAGAGGCCTGCTCGGCACTACCATATTGTGCTGCCTGCTAACTCTGTCTGTCTGCCACTCGGATGCCAGGTTCTAAAAATAGTGCAGTGGGAACAGTCCAGCAGCCTCTCCCTCACGGCCTACAAATCAGAGCCCTGATTAGGTCAAAGGATGGGAAAGGCAGCTAAATTGCTGTTCAAAGCCTCGCTGGTGCCAAGAGCAGAAACCTTCCTGTTCTCTCAGAAGTTGGGATGGAGCCACAAGACAAGCTTCAGTCAGGAGACTTCAGACTACCTGTCTGAGTCTGTGAACTTGCTCGGGAGTAGGGTTTCCCACTGGAGATACCTGACTACCTGAACCTCCAGAAGTCCAACTATACCTGCAAGACATCTGGCCAAAACAAAGCTTGACCTTGCAGGGGAAGCCGCATTTCCCAGAAAAATCTTTTTCAGTAGTTGTGTCTTATACAAAATGCAGCTGGCTGAAGCTTTTTTTTCCTATTTCCTTGATTCCAACTGGGGCACTTGAAAGCAGAACTTGTATCATGATGTCAATTTACAACTCATATTAAAAGAATATGAAATATTCCTTGTTCTCGAATTGAAGGCTTTTGGCTGCAGGTAGGCAGGCACTGGTGGGGGATCATAGAGTCAAATGAGGAGGAATAGGGTTTGGAATAGATCAGCAAAATGTTCTAATTCTATTCATCTGAGCAGTTGCAACAAAGAGTCCTCAGCCTGGAGAGTTTATAAGTAACTTAAAAGCTAGGAGTAATTCCAGCACTCTGGGAAGTTGCGGAAGGAAAATCACAAGACCTAGACAATTTAGAAACTTAGGGTGAATGTACCTCAAAATAAAATCAATCAATAAATTTCCAGTAATGCTGAAACCAAAACAAACACCAATATAAAATTCATTTCTCACAACTCTGGACAGTAGGAAGTCCCAATCAAGGTGTCAGTCAAGGTAGTAGCAGATTCAATGTCTGGTAATGGGCTGGTGAAGCTGCTCCTTTTCTCATATTAGAGAAGGGACCAAGGTCTCTTTTCATAGGGCTACTAATCCCATTTATCAGGACTGCCTCCATCTAATCTACTCCACCTAATCTTTTCCTAAGGGTTCTTACTACCAAATATCACCTTGGGCAGTGGTATTCTATATATAACAGAAACTAGAAATTAGAAAATTATGATTTATGGTCAATAATCTCCCATCTGTGTTTGGAAAAGCAGTTTCATTAGGACTTTATTTATCATGTTGAATTTATTTATGTGTTTATTTGTGTATTTCTATGTATTTATTTATGTATCATTTATGGTTACTTTCATGTTATTCAGGCAGAACTGAGTGGTCAGGAGAGAGAACAACATCTGGCCCTTTATGAAAATGTGCATTTATCTCAGCTCTATTATAATGAGCATGTTCTTAGTGATTGCTCCAGTGCGTGTTTTGTGTGGTTTTACAATAGGCCAACGTGAGTACTATCCTCTGCACTTCACAGAGGAAGAAAGGAAGCCCTAGCTTGTTCAAAGTCCTAGAGATAGAAAGCAAAAGGCTGGGAGTGAGTTGGCTCTGTCTGAGTCTGCGGTCTCTTGTTCAGCACACGTCTTCTTTCACTGCTAAATTCTTACTGGCTATGAATTTGCGTCATGAGTTGAAAATGCAAATGTTTTCAGGAACCAGGTAGGGAGGATCTGAAGGGCCCTGTTGCAAGCCAGAGGGAGTGCTGTGTACTATGGATGAACTGAAAAGTACAAACCCAGTTTAAAGACATTTAAAGGAGAATTTTTTTAAAACTTCAAGAGCCAAACAAAACATGTCAGCAGGTCTTATTAGACTAATGGGTCTTAGGTTTGTGACCCCCGGTGGGAGATGAATGAGGTTAGCCAAGAGGAGCGATGCTATCCTTGGAATGGAAACCATGGAGCCTGTTTGCCTTCCCTTCCCTCTCCAGTTCATTTCTTTGGAACATCACTGATGATGGAGGAATCGTAGGCCCTGCTTTTTCTTCCTGACTTAGCCATCCAGTCATGGTGCAACTTCGGGCAAACACTCTTACCTCTGTGAACTTCAGAATACTTATCTTTAAAATGGAGAATTACTTCACATTTATTGGTCTGTGGTAGGACTCACATACTGCACTGCAAAATTCATTTTGGCTTATCACGGGGAATGATGTCTCCTCCATACTTCTACTTACTTGTAGGAAAAAAAAAAAAAAACGGCCCTTGGTTCCTGTGTTTCTATTGCAACCTATGGCAAATCAGTCACTGTAAACTTCTGACTGCATATTCAGAGAATATTCAGAATCTATCACTAACAATGAGGTACGAGTCTCTCTCATCACTTGCCTGGGTTTCTGCAACAGTCCCTTACTTTATCTGTCATTCTTCAGCCCTTCTTGAATCCATTTTTAATTCAGCAGTCAGAGAGGAGCACAGGTACTTCAACGAAAGCATAACATTGCCTTGTTTTTCCCTCTTAGAATAAAAGTTAAAGTTCTTAGAGTGAGCTTTGAGGAGCTAGTGATCTTCCTTCACACCACCCACAATTCTTTTGCTTACACTGTACTTTTATGGCCTTTCCTGTGGTGCTCCAACCTACTCGTGCGTTTCTGGCCACGGTGGGCTTCTGCTTGCCCCTTAAGCATGCCAGGAAGCTCCTATCTCATGTGCTTTGGGCTGCAGCTTATGTTTGGAGTACTCTCCACCCTTGTGCCCAAAGTACAACTTTCTCTTCTCATCAGCTCTTACTGCATCTTTTTACTCACCCTATAATTCAAATTGTATACCTGTTCCTATTCTGCTCTCCCCTTTATCTTCCTATTATTCACATGCTCTATATAAATTGTGATTGAATTATTTACATTGCTTATTATCTCTCCCACAACAGTAGCCAAAGAGTTGTTCACTGCTGACACTACATCATATCTTAAACCACTCATTTCTTCCTTTTCTCCAGTTGTCTCCACCTCCACCATCTCATCTAATCTGACATAATTCAGTGAGTATTATTTCAAACTTAGAGGTCTGGGGACAAGGATAGGAACTCACCTCCCAACTGTATGCCAGTGCTTATGGCGTTGGGGTCCCCAGCCAACATCACAGCCCCTCCTAACGCCATGGAAGAAATACAAATTCTCACACAGCTGTCTTTCCAGCAGTGTTTTCAGGCCCATCCAGTGATTTTGGTACAACTTGGAATTTAAGAGTCATCACCTTGTTTCAGTTGGTTTTTGGTTTTTACTTTTTAAATAAATATATTTGTTTGGCAACACTAGGGATTAACCCCCAGGGCCTTTGCACTAAGCTACATCTCCAGCCCTTTGTTTTTTAATTTTTTTTTATTTTTTGAGACAAAGTCTTACCAAATCACCAAATTTTCCAGGGTGGGCTTAAACTTGCAATTCTTCCACTTCAGTGTCCCAGAGTGCATGAATTACAGGCACGCACCACCACACCCAGCTTCAGTTGATTTATAAAACAGTTCAAGTCCAAAGACTTCCAGACAGAATGAGGTACAGCTGGCCCTCTCTCTCCTTGCACTGCCTCCTGGGACTCAACTATTGCAGACCGAAAGTAACAAAATTACAAAACTTACAACCATCTCCAACATATACAGCCTTTTGTCTTGTTATTGTTTTCTAAACAAAACTCCACAACAACCATTTACAGAGTATTTGCAGTATGTGAGGTAGTATATGTTAGGCAGAAATGATCTGAAGTATATAGGAGGATGGATGCAGGTTGTAAGTAAATATTGTACAATTTCATAGAAGGGATTTGAGCATCCTTGGATTTCCATATTAATATCATGCCTTAGACTCAATCTCATGTAGACACTGTGTAATGACTGTGATTAAAAAAAAAAGTAGCTATGGGATGGAATTCACAACATCTACTCCATGCTGTATCTGCCCTTGTGTGGTCTTGGGTACATCACTTCTCTAACTTAGAAACTGAGTTCTCAAACTGTGGAGGTAAAGAACAAGATGATCTCTATATTGAACGTGCTTCTGTTTTGGATTCTAGAATGATCTATCAGCATTTACATCTCAATGCCACCTTCCTGGTTTTCCTTATGTTCCTAAATACCAGGAACTCATGGTTGCCAGTTGGTCATCTCATCTATAAAAAGTTTACTCTCACCTGAAAAAATACTGAATATCTGCTTATATTACTTAGTTACATACTGTACACATGTGATTTTATGCAAAAATATTCAATACATTTCATACACATAATGAAATGCCAACTCAGATATAATAAAATGCAGGTACTGACCTTGTTATACTAGGGTGAACATCACTTATCTGGAAAATTCATAGGACTTCCTTCAACTCCTAAACAGTGGCCCATTCTCCAGACAAATATGTATTTTCTTTGAAAGCCAAACTTACTTTCTGAAAGCAACTGATTGAATTCATTCATAATAAAAATATTATCCTTTCAATGAGCCATCAGTACACATCAGGTACTATATATATAAAATGGTTTTCACATACACGAATCATCTGTTATCCCGTGAAATGTTTACACCGTGAAGCATGTATAATTATGCCATTTTGGAATAAGGAACCCAGGCACAGCGAGGTTAAATAACCTGTTGCGATGTATGTGAGATAAAGTAACAAAGCAACGCAGTTTAAGAACTTCCAGCTATAACAAACTTCAGGCACTTCTGAGGATATTTGTCTTTGGACTAACCACTGGGCAGGATAGGATATTATTAATTCCTTATTGTAGGTTTGCAGTGAGCATTTGGAGAAGGAGTTCTTTCTAGTACTACTCAATATATTCATCTACAAGGTGTCTTTTCTGCAGAGACAGGACGAACTCTGAGGGTAGAGACTACATCTCCTCCACGGCACTGACCTACCTTCACACCACCTTGGGTAGCGGGGTCATGGTATTCAGGGAGCAGAGGATTTTCAACTCATGTTAGATGCAGTACTTCAGAAGTTCCACAGCTAATTAGAGTTCCAATGCTAGCTAGACAGAGATACACCTAGAAGTAGCTTGCTTCTGTCACACTTAGAAGCATCCCGAGTGTGCCTT